TTGTCTCAGCCAGTATCGGAATCCTTAGCGTCGACATATCAAGTGACATGCAGTTTCATGGTCACTTGGAAGAGAAGGCCAAATTTAGGCCTCTAAAAAGCTTTGCGTGCTCAGCAGAGCGGGACAGTATTTCATGCCGGCACAACGCCTGCAACTTCACAAGGCGCAGGTTCGGCCTCACATGGAATACTGTTCCCATCTTTGGGCAGGGGCTCCCCAGTGCCAGTTCCTTCCACTTGACCGCATCCAGCGCAGAGCGGTTCGAATCGTCGACAACCGAGTTCTTTCCGATTGGCACTGCGTAGAGATGTTGCATCTCTTTGCGTATTTTATCGCATCTACCACGGGGAGTGCTCTGAGGAATTGTTCGGACTAATTCCAGCCGCTCGATTTCACCCTCTCACATCGCGACAAAACTCGCGATACCATCCATATCATCTGGATGATTGGCGGTCCACCACTGTGCGATTTAGAACAAGTTTTCTCCCTCGCGCAACTTCCTTGTAGAATCGATTACTAACAGCGATTTTTCCGGACCGATACGACTTAGGGAGCTTCAAGAAAAGAGTCTACTCCTTTTTAAAAGGCCGGCAACGCATCTGCGATTCCCCTGGTGTTGCAGTTGTTCATGGGCGGCGGTAGTTACTTACCATGTAGTGTTATGCTACTTACATATCATTTTACCCTATTTTAAATTCATTTTTTCATTCTGTTTTGATTTTCTGCATTCACCTCAAAACTGGATATTTTGTATCACCTTTATTTCCATAGGATCCTGTAACGTTTTTAAACCATAAGAACACAATAACAAATAATTTTCACTTTGTATTTTCACGCTATCAGCACTTTTTAAATCAGTGTCGATGGAGTCTACTTTTTCGATCTTTTATTTAGTTCTCCGTAACTCTGCAATTTCGGGCTTTGTGCGCCCTGGTGCGCTACCTTTTTTCCCATAGCAATAATATCTCATTTTTCACTTAAATCTTGCCGTTTCTCTATTACGAGCCTAAAACCAAAATTTGACATGTTTTGACATCGTTGTTTATCTGGTTGTCATGACAATTATTATTCAAATTCGCTACCGGTCTGTTGTTTCTACTTCGATAATTCCACATAAATACTCTTTCCTCTTGGCCATTTACAAAAAATTTGCGTTTAATTTAAATAATTTTCCGTTCTCTCTAGAAAGGTATAAAAGCCGAACAATCGGTCAAGAAACTCAGTCTCGCTTCAGTTCTCAAACTCGAAGCATCTCCTAAAGGCCTTATCCCGGGGCCGCACTGGCGACTTCAGGCAGGACAGAGGCTTGCAGGATCCCGGGGCAGATATATATATATATATATATATATATATATATATATATATATATATATATATATATACCTGTTACGGCCCGCAGCTGCCCCTGCAAAGGATTTTCACGAAACACAATTACGTAGCGAAGTCACGCGCACAATTTCCAAAATTCTAGACCTTAAACCAAAAAAAGCCAGTCTCTCGAAACCTCCGTGGTGGGCATCGAAAGACACCAATTAACTGCCTAGCCGCCATCGAGCTACTAATCTCTCGCCCACGAGCGTCACACGCTGGGAAGCTGCCTACCGCTGCCCCCTCGCCGCTATGCGCGTGACACCCGGTGCCATCGGGCGATTCACGAAGTCGAACGTGATTGGATGTCGTACAAATTACCTTTTTTGGGCCTAAACAATACCATTTTTTTAAGTTATTGCGTGAAATGACGTCCCACAATTATATAATTTTTCAACAGCTCTTATTTTCATATATATTTCAAATTTGTTCTGACATAGATAATATTTATATTTATATACATCAAAAGGTTAATTGTTAAAAATAATAATAGTGTGAGAGCCATTCAGTATTTAGCATTCAGTATAGACCGAATACAGTTCGACCGTGTCATAATATGTCCCTGTCACAGTTTCACAGTGTTGTAACACCAGGGACATAATTACACGATAACACAAAAGTATGCGAAACAAAAGCAACACTAATCATATCATTGTAACATAGAGCAGCCTTTCAGCAACACCAGCTTCCTTGACTATACTAAAAAAATTACTACATCAAACTGAACTACGATACTGCTATTCAACGAGAATTATAGCACTCGTAACATGACTTCATTCGTAGAAAGACGGCGCTTATACTGTACTTTATATTGCACAAACGAGTGGGGGTTTCACGATATAACCTCGATTCTACTAGCCCACTATAGATATAGTACTCCACTAGTGTGAAGGATCCTCTCGCTCACTCTCGATCCATCCGATATTTTATAGACCCACCGACATATATAATTTTACTTTCTATCATCCCTTTATATTTTGATTATTGCTACACCGCCTCTTATATGTCTATCTCTGTTTAGCCTATCGATGACTGGGAGAAAATGCCCTATGGCATTAAGTCCGCCAGATGTACTACTTTGTGCATGGAGAACTCCTAGTTCTGCTACTCTATACTAAAAGACGCTAGTTACAAACTAGTGTCGCCATGTATCAGGTATTAATTGTTGCGCGCAATAATAATAATAATAATAATAGTATAGGATGCTAATCGATTATATTACACTGCCATCACATAAACAACTTTTCTTGTTTACAGCTTATTTTAAAATTTATGCTGGGCAGCCGTAATAGCTCATAGCATATTCCTCGCCTTAAATTTCGTAGTACGCGAGCACCACCAATGAGATTACTCATATCAAAATTTATGGGATGGAATAAATTTAAAGTTTAATTTATTAAGTTAGCCCGTATAAACAGGTAAAAGAATTTAAAATTATTTAAACATTTAAACAACTCAAGTCTCCCTTTATATGTTTTAAATTTAATAATACCCATCGCTAATATAAGCTTCGATACCAAAATGTACAACAAAACTCTAAAAAATTATTTCAAGTATTTACAAAAACTCCGCGGGACGTAGTGTACATGTAAATACGAAGGAAATTTTTCAAAGAAATTCTTTTGAAAACTTCTTTCAAGAAAACAAACTTCTCCAAGCTGGGTACAGCAACAAAAAGATGTGGTCGCTGAAAGATCAACGGTAATTTGCAATGGGATATTAAATTTTCTCTCTGCGGGCCCCAAACAATGGTTTTGACAAGGGTCATCGAAAACATTGAATAAGAGTGCTTAACCGAAATACAACTTCGGTTCTGATTGAGTTTTCTATGGAACCATTCAGAGACTTGGCTTTAATTGAAAGACTTTATTAATTAAGATTTCATAGTTATTTACATATAGTTGTTTTAAACATCACAAAAATAATTTTAAGTATCACAACTATATCTAACAATAAAACACAACAATATACGTGCAGTCATTAATTTGTTAATATTTACATAATTACACACAGACAATCTATACACAACAAAAACATTAATTTGTTGTATTGGAAAATTATGACAAATGGAAAAAATTTACTATGGAAGAAGTATTACAAGAGACGTGCTTGAAAAGTCGAGCGAAAGAAATTGCCACAGAAGGAAGCTAAATTCAATATTGAAGCAATTTTTTTCTAACGAGTATTGTAATATTATTTTATTTCATTCTATTTTATTTTTATGACTTCTATCAATTTAGGAACAAAATTATGATATATTATAATTTCGCAATAAATGGTTTCATGCTAGTGATTTTCCAGTATTCAAAATGAAACACGATTCGAAAATATTGTCATCAACAGAATATATAAATCCAGTCAGTTTTTCAATTGATGTAGGTACATATTTATGTGTCGGTATGTCGTCGGTATAGGTATGTATACCGACACATTCGTACTACATCTATACTACTAATATAGCTGCAGCATTGCTCTACCACGTAAAAACATATTATACTACAGTATATATTATACTATTGCTTGTTTATTACTTTACATACAACTAGCTATACTCAGGTGAGTATAGCCAGTTGTGCTCTTTGGCTGAAGTTATTTTTTATATTATGCACAATTGCAGACAAAACAACCTCTTAGACAAAATTTTACCTCTTCTCCTTCTAATAATAGCTCGTGTACCTGACACGGCGGGATAGTTTTTCTATAAGACCATTTGTAGTTACAATTTTTGTTAACAGTTATGAGTGTAACATTTTTATTAGCTGCTTTATTCTTTTGAGCAACACTGCCGGTTTCTGTATAGAAAATGATGCTGTCTCTCGTATTTTTTATTTGAAATCTATTGATTCGTAGGCGTAGTGCTGCAGAAAATTGTTCCAAATATGGATGGCCGCTACCTATGAATATAATACCTGCTATGTTACACTTATTTACATATAAATTTTATTTATTATCTGCATAAAATTCTAAATAGCACTTTTTACACAAGAAGGTAAACTGTGAGATCAGTCCATCTTGTTTTTCGCTAATTAAGTGAATAATAAAATAAACCAAGGAATCCGTGATTTAAAATTTCTTGCAGCTTTTTATAGAAATGCATGATCTTATCATAATATGATAGTTAATTATTTAGCCATCTGTTAAAACTTTTAAGTGTTCTAGTCATATATTAATGATGATATTTGGGTCATTATACTGGAAATAGTCTATTAAATAATTTCTAGTACAATTGATCATCTTCAGTATGCTTGACCGTGAGAATGACTTTTCTGTCTATGCTAGTTTTGATGAAAATAATTATTGCAGATCAAATAATATTGGTACTTATTTTTTATAAATTCAATGAACATTTTTATGTATTTATATAGCACTAGCAAACCCGGCGAACTCCGTTTCGCCACCAGCTGGCTTCGTTTTATGTAACTATTCGTTTGGTAATTAAAAGATGAAGAAAAATTTTATTTTTGTTTTATATTTGAAAAGGAAACATTTTATTTCATTTCACAACAGTAATGAATTCATTTCGATTACAAAAATGAAGTGTTATTTAGTTGAACTTCTCTAAGTAAATGAAAGTGAATCCAAAGTAAATACTGAATCGAAGCGTTATTATACGTGTCCGCAAATTATCCGTTTCATTGAAGTGCTCTTTGGTAAACCACATTTTTTGTTTTTTGGCCTGACGTTAACACAAACAAAGCGGATGGTTTCCCAACTCGTGAACACGCAACGTATAACTGCCCATGTGAAAAACAATGGTTTTCTAAATTGATCCCGCAAACACTAAGCGATTGGCCTTGTGACTTGTTAATTGTCATTGCGAACGCAAGGCGAACTGGAAATTGCAATCGCTTGAATTCAAACGGAAGATCAGTCGGAATCATTGGTATTCGAGGAATACATACATTTTCACCTGCGTACTTTCCGTTAATAATGGTTGCCTCAATCAAATTCGGCATAAGTCTTTTCACCGAAAGTCGAGTACCGTTGCAAAGTCGCGGTGGATTCAAATTACGCAATATCATAATAACTGTACCAACTTTGAGTTGCAATTTATGTGGTGGAAATCCTGGTAACTACAGAGAGTTCAAAAACTCCGTTGGATAATTTACTACATCATCGGGATTTGTTATGGAATCAACGGATTTGTATGTCAACAAATCGCCAGCAATTTTTGATTGAATGGTGAAATTCAGTGCGTGTACATCATTATTCTTTGCGGCAAGAATTGCTCGTTGACTTAACCAAGCATAATTCTGATAATTATCACTAATGTTTGGGAAAACATTTTCAATAAGAGCTAATTGAGAGTCTACAAATCGGCAAAAGTCGTTGGTAAGAGTAATTAATCCAGATGTTGCATCAACTGGGACTTTTCCATTTCCAACAGCTAACAATTGTTTAGAAAATTGTGCAGCACTTTGATCATTTTGAAGTTGAACTCTCATATTAGTGGTTAGCGATAATGTTTTTACGTTATTCCATAAAGGTGATGCCTTCAGGCAAGCATTCAATTCATCTGCAGGCGTTCCACGGGGAATTACTGGCAACGTCTGCCTGAAATCGCCTGCCAACAATATCATCAAACCGCCAAAGATGTTGTTATTTCGCCGAAGATCCTTCAGTGTGAAGTTAAGTGCTTCAAGTGATTTCTTATGTGCTATTGTGCACTCATCCCAAACAATGAGCTTGCATTGCATCAACAATTTTCCCATTGCACTGGATCGGGAAATATTGCATGTTGGAGTATCAATTGTGTTTAAATTGAGTGGCAACTTAAGCGCAGAATGTGCAGTACGACCGCCATCTAGAAGAGTTGCCGCAATTCCAGATGATGCTAAGGCCAAAGCTATGTCACATCTTGATCGAATAGTGGCCAAAATCAATGAAATGACAAATGTTTTCCCTGTTCCTCCAGGTGCGTCCAGGAAGAATAGACCACCAGTATTATTGTCCACCGCTTGCATTAATGTTTCGTATCCTTTTTTTTGCTTGTCATTCAGCAACGGCACATTATTTCGAACGAATTTCTGCAATGTATCAACATTGTATTGCAGCTCTCTATTTAATTCTTGGTTGAATGCATCGTGCATCGATCGATTTGGCGCAATCATTCCTACTTCAATCAGTAGCTTGTTTGCAATAGTTAAGCATTGATCCTCAATCAGAATCAATCCTTCATTGTAGATTTCATCGGTTATTTGGATGTCAGGATTATTCGTTTGAATGCGCAAGCGATGCAAGATATCTTCACATATGTCGTCTTTGTATTTGTTCCATAACTGAATTGGTTGTGAAGGAAAACATGTGGTGATGATAATTGCGAACAGAGTTCGTATTTGGTACGCATTTTATGAAACAACTGAATCCGCAAGTGTTAAATCCCAATGAGAATCGTTCTCCAGCAAACCCAATAGTTGACATGCTTCTCGATGTGTTTGGCATTGGTGGCCATTCACAATTTTCAAATGCGCAAATGATTTTGGTCCACGTACATTTACCAACAGCAGTCGCAAATAAAAACATTCATCATTTCTAGGATGAACAGTATACATGCGACCTAGTGCATCAGTGGAAAACACCTGTGGCCAATCTGGAACTGGGGTTCCTTGTTTGCGACGTTGGAATTTCTTTGTTGATTGATTCCAAGTGTAATACTTGGGCATTTCAACGTACATCAGCGTCGCTGCGAATGGATCTGCTTCACACATTGCAAAGAAGCTAGTCAATGTTGTCGATGGTGGTCTCTCAGTTAGTTGTGCCGCATTAGCCTCAGTGAAGTAAACTCTTTGGCCATTTTCCAAATGCACTGCTAAATGTACAACTGTGGGATATTTTTCATGAATTTGAAATGACAATAATCGCCACAGTGCTTCATTAGTACTGACGTATCTGCCCATTTGGAAGTTGCTGATTTCGTCATTCGCATTTTCCGACGCAATACCAAACACAGCCATGTCGCTGCCTTTTGTGACGTACTTGCACAAATATTTGATTGATTTGGCCGAATGACAACTCTCAACGTTTGCATGTGTTTCGAAAATTCGTGATAGCAGCGGGCAATATGGTACAATGAATTCATTTCCGATCTCAATCTCTTGATTTTGAACTTTAACTTTGATAGTTCGACCATTATCTTCTTTTGAACGCCGACGATAAACTGGATATCCATCGTCGCGGTCGCGGATATCGTTTTGTGCACTTTCCATCAGCCATGCAAGGCGATAATGGATTTAATGCACCGCACGGTCCGTGCACCATGTGTGTCGTCACAATGTCGTGTAGATGGGGATCAGTGACTGGATCAGGAATTTCAGCTGATATGATGTAATCCACTTCATTTGAATGTAATTTGTTCAGCAGCCAAATTAGGATATGAGCATGCGGTAGTCCACGCTTCTGCCATTCCACCGAGTACATATAACAACGTGTATCACCAAAAACTCGATACTTAGTAAGCACATCCATCATAACCTTGAGTTTTTGCTGAAAAAAATTAATGTTATTAAAAAAATAAAGTTGAAATTAAGTTAATATACGCGATAAAATCCGTAAAACGCACCGGCGCCATCTACTTAAAATATTGGTTTGTAGTACATGCTATGTATCAGAGATAGCGCTGTATGTGAAAAAAGATTTTCCCGCTTTTCTGTTGAAATTTTCCTGAATTTTCTTTGCTATAAACCTCACGGAGCCCAAGACCTTTCCAACGAATGCAAAACCGTGGAAATCGGTTCGTGCGTTCTGGAGTTATAGCGTCAGGAAGGAAAACCCGACTTATTTTTATATAGTAGATTAGGGAAGTACCATTTTTTATTTAAATTGTTTGATTTAATTTTATAATAGCGTACCTAAATATAAATATCTGTATCTAGATTTTTCTCTCCAATAATGTTCTATTAAAGTCATAGTCATAAAAACAGTGTTTTATTGTAATACGTAATTATAAAGTTCAATATTTCTAGGTATCAATGTACAGATATTAACTATATTTTAAGTATTCATAAAAATATTTAAAATTGAGTAACTCTTAAAAAACTAAAATATATTTGAACGAAGTCGCTCTAACACCGACCCGCGATCCACCACCGACGATGTCCGAAAACGGACTACAACAGAGCTCACGGAGGATTACAGCAGGCACGCTTGCGGAAATATATTCAATTTCGAGGAAAAATTATATCTTCTCGAGGAAAACGAGGAGTAAAAATTAAACTCTCAATTAAAAATATTAATATTTTTAAAACCTTTTTTAGTGTAAAAAACTATTTAAAGAGCTTGAGCCGTTTTGGGGAAAATTTGCAAAATATGACAAAGATAGATACTATTTGAGGTTTTTTGTCTAACAAGGGGTTAACAAAAATACGAGTACAATTTTATTCAATTATAAATATTTACTAAGTCTTCTTCTGTCACCTTGTATTTTTTTTGCAGATTAAATGAAAGGTTATTGTGATTTTTTTTAATTAAGTATCCAAGAATTTAGGTATTTTAACCGCCCTTAGGACCTTAAGCTCTAAACCTTGACATGGTTCTATTTATCGTTCCAGTTAAGGTATCGGTAAAATACCGGTTTTTTATTTCTAGTGTAATACAGGATAAGGAAATTTCAATGAAAACAAGTAATTTAGTAGACATTTATCGCTCGTTTTCGAATAAAATAAAGGTATCTAAAGTTCTCATGTACGTTTCGGTTTTACTTGTATCTGAGAACCTAAATCTATTTATCACCAGATTTTAGAACCTATTCTACTCCCATCTTTAATAAATACGAACGCTTATCTACTGTCATCATCATTCAGCATTACAGCCCTTCACAAGTCCACTGCTGAACATAGCCCCCCCCCCCCCCCCCCAAGGAATGCCAAAGGTCCTGAGCCACCTGCATCCATCGACTTCCTGCATGTCTTACCAGGTCCTCACTCCATCTAGTGGGAGGACGCCCTACACTTCATCTGCCGGTACGAGGCTCCCACTCGAGAACCTTATTTCCCCATCGGTTGTCGGTTTTTCGAGCTATATGACCGCCCCATAGCTACTTCAGCTTACTAACCTTTTGGGTTATGTCGGAAACTCTGGTTCTACTGCGGATATCCTCATTTCTAAGTTTGTCACGTAGAGAAACCCCGTAGATAGCCCTCTCTATAGCTCGCTGAGCGATCTTGAGCTTCCTCATACAGCCAGCAGTGAAAGACCACGTTTCAGTTCCATAAGTCATCACTAGAAACACGCAATGGTTGTGCAGTCTAGTTTTTATGTTTTGAGGTATACCTGACCAGATGATATGCCGTAATTTCCTGAACGAGTAACTAGTAACTGCCCAGCCGAGTCTTACACCTCTCTGTAGTTGGATAGGTTTCGTACTCTGGTTCTGTATTCGGATAGCCATCGTAAGCCTACTGTACAAACACTTCAGCACTTCGATATACCGACAGTCAACATGGCACCTCTGAAAGGACTGTAGCACCGCCCAAATTTCGACGGAATTAAAGGCTTTCTCATAGTCAAATTATACTCTTCGGACTTCTGTACAATATGCCAAAGGGTATATATGTGGTTTATGGTCCTAACGCCTTTTTGGAAACCAGCTCGTTCGGGAGGCTGGAAGTCGTCAAGTATGCGCGCGAGACGATTTGTAGTCTATCGAAAACAGCACGTAGATGCGGCTTAGAAGGGAAATCGGTTTGTAGGTCTTCAAAAGAGCGTTGTCGCCTTTCTTGAAGAACAATGCCACCGCACTTCTGCTCCACGCTTTCGCCGGTATACTGCCACCACGGAGGACGGAATTAAAGAACTTCTAAAAGACTTCAAGTACCGGATTTCCACCCAATTTCAGAAGCTTCGCTTTTATTTCATCCTCGCCTGGGGCTTTGCCGTTTTTAAA